TCACTCGCATGTCATCCTGTGATGTTGTCTTATGACAGGCTTTTTCAATGCATTCGTGGTTGCTTTTTTTTTTCAAAAATTCGCATGATTCTTCAGGTCGCAATATCATTGGACGATGTACTGAATCCGCCGTCACGAGTGATAACTTATGTTTAAGCAGAAAGTTTCAAAGATTTTTGTGTATTGTTTCAACAGAACATTAAACTTATATGTTTCCTCTAGTGCAAGAGAGAAGTAATAACTAGTGGGATGAAATTGAAAGAATCACGGTTTACTTACGCATACCCTTAATGTATTTTTTCCATAGCCGTTTTACCATTCAGGAGTTTGATCCCTGGTTCGATTTACGTCGGTAAAGAAAACTAGGAGGTGCCTTTCTTTAGTGGTCTTGAAATTGTTTTTTTTTGTCATGTTGAAGTTAGTGATACTTTATCACCGGAAAACATAGGGTCAGGCACTGCGATACTACACGCGTAATCCATGACGTTGTTTCTTCTGAGCTAACGATATAAGCTGGATATCAATCAGCTAGCGGTGGTCATTATTCCGATCGATGGCATTGTTATTATATTGACTAGTCTGTTAGACGAAACCAGCGAGTTCTATTCGATTCCTGTTTAACAGCGCTATCGATTTTCATCATGTCCGTGAATGAGCTCAGTTTCGAAGCCTAGTCAACTGTTTAGCTGTTTTTCGGCACCTTTGAAGATACTCACTGCAACTAAGCATTATAGTTTATCAGTCGCAGATGCTCAGGCTAGCACTGACGTTAGGGTGACGGCGAGCGGATCATTGACGAATCGAGCGTTTGCCATAGCTACTTTATGCTTTAACGGTTGGTCCAGAATGACGCCGAGACCCATTGCAACAGTAGTGGAAGATGGTACTACGCCTCATGAGCATGTTGGAATCCTCGAATTTTCGAATCTCATTCGTATATCGGTGTCAACGTTCTTTTCCTCAGTTTCTTTCTATTGCTCGTCGTTATCACCAGCAGTGCCGTGCTTTGTAAGACTTCTCTCTTCTGATAACTGATTTGAATAATCGGCGGACTCAGAACATTGCGGGTTCTAGTTCCTGACTGTCCCCCTCTTCACCCTCCTTATTAAGTAAGTGGGTAGAAGCACCATTGTACATGAGAAGCACATATGCATCTACACGCTCAGGCTGGTAGTCTTCGTATTTCTTTCATAACTTAGACACTCCAGGCTGATGCCTTTCAGACGAACGTCAGCATCATAAGCTACATGTAAACGGAATGCCATAAATGCCACCTCATATACGTAGACATCGCAGCAGCTCCATACTTTCTATTCTTCGTTTTCTTCCAGATTTTCTACCTTTCATTAAATTCTGCTTTCTACTTTTTGTGAACCTAATGGGGTTTCTGTTGCCACTTGTTAGAATGACGCTTCCGATTGTTGCACACAGTTTTAACAAAGAAACGTCGGTGCACACCAGTTCTTTTGATGATTTCTTTTCAGTTATGGATCCGAGTAATCAGCATGTTCTTTATGGTTTACTTAATAAACTATGGTTACTGTACTGTATGAATATTCATCATTGACTTTTTGATCACCGCAGTAATTGATATCATTGAAGTTATCATCATCGTGATCATCGCTATCATTATCATCAATGCACCGATTTAAAAATTTTGTTTCCCTGCCGCCCTTTTGACTTGTCGTTCTTGGTAATTTTTGAAGGCCATTCAAGCATTGTTCCCTTGCAATACGCTGGTCATATTGTCAAGCGCATGTTTCTTTATCATCTTCCATTCGTTGCCCTTATCTGGCATGCAGACTTGTATATATGAATTTTTAACGCACGCATTGCCCTTCACGTAGTTCAGGTCTTTCTGTTTGTTTGTATTTCATTGTTTATATAAATCAGTATATTTTATGATAATGTATAGTTACTTTTGTACATTTCGTAGCAGCGCCCTTTGCACAATAATTAATAAACCTGATTCTAAAACTGGAAATGCAAATGTGCATATGCAAATACGGGATGAACTCTTAATAGGAAAATAGCATTTGTGATTACGTGTAATGTTCAGGTATCCATATTCGTAATATTCTTCTCACAAACAAGCGTATTTGTGGCTTCCATGGGTACGTACCTTCCACAGTGATAATTCGATCGTATCGATATACACTAAAACTGTTCTGCGGTTCAGTATAAACTAGTGACTTCTGCAGTTTTATTGAGTTACTGCTAAGTCCCTTTCCCTGTACCTAAGCAACAGGATTGCGTTCTGCATGTTTAAGTTTACGTAGTGATTTCGATATAGGCCTATACAGTAATGCGGTAAAATAGACACAGTTCCGATTTGGACTTAAAATTAAAGTGGTTTTACTTCATGTCGTTATGGACAGATTATTACGCGGGGTGATAATGTGCACAGCATTCCCACGTACACATGTATGCATATTTCGAAGTTTCCTAAATAAATCTTTAGATGTGTGCCACTAATATTGTTCCAATTTCCGACTTTAAGCTCCCACTGGTAGTGTCGTTTTCGTGGAGCCTTTTCTGACGTTCTATAATGACATCGCGCTGTCTGCCTCCTCCGTTCAGAACGGATAACGACTCCGTTGCTGACTGGTATCTTCGTCGTCGTTGCGTCTGTGTTCGTCAGCCGTCGTTGTGCTGCCACGCCCCCGGCTGGCAGAGGGCAATGAACAGGTTCTGATCGTCGACTTTTCGCACTCTGCCTCAGTCCCCCAACAGCCTGCGCGGCCCTTGGTAACCAGGGCGACGACCTAGCCGGTAAGATTTTCGATGGCGTCAGTACCATGAGTGGCAGGTGGCTGAATTTTACGGAGACTTGCCAGGGTCTCCACCCCTCCTCCTTTCTCATCCGGGCTTGGGACTGGCAACGGCGGAGTTATATAGCCACTATTATTGATATGCTGTTGAAAATATGCATCAATTTTTTTTGACAAATTAACATACTGTCATTATTGGCACAAATACCAGTATCTGTTTATATTTATAAATGCATCTTGATTTACGATAGGGTTACGTTCGGAAAAACTAATCGTCCAAAATGAATATGATATGACAAATAAATAACTACAGTCATTTAATTAATAAATAAACAAATAATTACTGCAACTAACTAAATACCATTATTTTAAAGTTAACATTAATTGCTGTAAAATGATGGTAGGCAGAAGTGTCTATAACGACAGGATCATCAATTTTTTTATTTCGATGATTAGCGGTTGCTAGCATAGCTCGTAGAAGGCATTTAGTCTTCGACACTTGTTGTTAATTCAGGAATAGGTGGTTGGTTTTTCAAGAAGATATTAAGTTTCGATCAGTTGGTTTTTTTCATTATAAATTTCTTTATGGCCGGCAAGAGCATCCTGTATTTGTATTTCAAATTCTGCAAATCTATCATAATTATGACCATATCGCTACCGTATGACACGTTTTCAAATACTGCATGAGATGATTCGTTACCACTATAACGATTGAGTTTGCATCGCTATCACATCATCGTAAAGTCGAAATATCTTAAGTCAAACCATCATAGAGCAAGAAACATGTGTGGACATGCATCGCATAACTGGCAGATATTATACCTGCCACATAAATGATTAATGGACGAGATTTCTGTGCCTTGATCTTCTGGTTTTGGTCATTTAATTAGCACTAAGAATGTTATTCTTACACAAATCTTGCTTCGTCCACGTTTTTGGTCGATCTTACCGGTGGTGGTCGCCATATTCATTGATTTCTTCGATTATTTCTTCGTACCGCAATAATTCCTTCCACATCTCCATTTAGAGCGCAGTTCTCTTAGGATGAATTGCCTGAAAGAGTAATTGCTCTGTCAAATGCCATTAGCATTTTATTGGTCGACCGAAGTTTGTCATTGTCAGCTGCCCCGGCTTTGATGCAGAGGTTACATATTAGGGAGCATATTTATCCTCATATCCATGTCGTGCAATTGCATCATCTTCATTTGTATTGCACTTATCACTATCATGTAAGCCATTCTTCGCCATGCCTCAGACAAAGTCTTTATTCTTATTGCAACAGTATTTCTAATATGCGTAGAAAGAGTAACGAACCACAAAGAGACCCAAGGCAGTGCGACAGGTGAAGTGTTTAAAGTGTTTTTGCCTTATACGTGTGAATTTTTGGTGTGAACGGCGAATTTGCGTCAAGCAGTTTTGGAGAGGCCTTGATGAAGTGCAAGATTTATGCATAGGTCATGTTTGCCTTAGCGACGCTGCTGATGCATTAGTGGTTATTAATTATTCAAGCCTTCATGAATATGTACATAAAGTTAACATATTTAGTTGTGTGAATGCATGTACCTTTTATTGTTGTAACAGGTATATGACTTGTTTTCATGCAAATGTTTTGCTGCTTTTGGCTCCATTAATGCAAAGCTCTAGTTTTGGTTTAATTTTTTGTACAGTTAGTCTGATGTCTTGTCGATGTGATCGTCTTTTTTAAGTGAAACGTTCAGCAGTAAACAGTAACTGTGGTTAATGGTTCTGACTGATTTTGTTGTGCTAATCGCGTCTTAGTTTGTTCTGATCACAGTACTTGCTTATTTTATTTTGCTTTTAGCTAGATGGCAGTTTGAAGACCCGATATTAATCTCATCGTTTCGTTTCCAGCTACACAAGTGATTGTGAAGCTTTTGCAATTTATTGCTGTACCTTTACATAAACAAGGTGTTGTTTGTTACTTGATTGATTTTATTTACGTTGATTTCGTTGTTTTAAGAGAATTTTGCCCACAGGTTGTTCGCGTTCTTCTAAGACTGTGAACGTTGCTCTGTTTACTTGTTTATAAGCTGGCTGGTGTGTACTCTTGGCCACTGTCAGACTCATATACAAAAAAACAGCACACTTCGTACAGTAACACCATGCAGTGCCATTGCTGATGCATCCCCTTCTGCGTCTACTCGATCAATAACCGGTTCTGGTATTAGCGGTAGTGGTATTCCATGTGTTGTTTCTGCCGGACCGGACATGGACATGATCATTGATGAAGAAATGGTTGCGGCACCGAACTCTGCCGCTGCCCAAAACGCCACTGATGAAATGTGCGTCGTCGAATCATGGGATCGAGATTTTGTGCCTTCATTTGTTTCTTCACCGCTGGCCAGCCACCAGGGTTCTAGCGTGCCTCGTCCGTTTTACGGTTAGTAGTCAGCTGACGATCACTCTCTACCATTGATGTCTGTTTTGCTTGCAGAGAAGTTCGACCAGTTCCCCGTCAGTCAGCGCCGCAGTGAGGAACAGCGCCAGCGCCGGGCGACCGCTTCGTCGGCAGTCTCTGAATCGTCTTCGGTCATCGTCGGCTCTTACCCCCGCGGCTTCCTTCCGAACAAAGTAGCCGTCAGGCGCACACGTTACTACAGTCTGACGTTGCCGCTGCCGTCAATGGCAATCGTCACCAACGACCCGCCGAAGAATGACTTGTCGCCAAAGATTCTGACGCCTAGTCGAACCGTTTTCAACATGTCAGACGGTGGAGGCAGCAGCTTCTATTCGTACTTACTCGGTGAGTGCTGTTGTTGAATATCTCGTTTTAGTTTGACGAATGCGCCAGGTGAGATTCACCTATGTGAGTTAAGTCGAAACCGGATTGGCGTTAAATAAAAATTTTTCTTTCATATTCTTCAAGATATATCACAAATCGTATCTGTTTCTGCCGACCTCCATTTGAAGTTTTCAAGTTCAAGTTTCAAACTGAAAGCTCATTTGAGGGTAGCTTGAAGTTTCATGAATAATGCTGTATGTACTTCTGCAATGCTACGATTTAGTTTGTAAAGCGAATATTCGGTTGTAAAATGGTTCATAGTTCAGTTTTACGTGATCCTTGTAATTTCCGTGTTTTCACATCTGCCATGCTG